AAAGGAAGAAGCAAAAAAATTCCCACACCAGAACAAATATTAAAAATCTTTTTGTCTTCAATTATTTTATTTTCCCCATCCCTTTTTCTATGTGGCCTTTTGTAACATCAGGCAAAATGAATATCCTGTGATCTGAAAACCTTGCACACAATTTTTTGCCCTCTTTTAAACAGTTGGCTTCATGAAGGTATCAACTTCATATGGAAATTTGATCTCAGATCTGCTTTTCAGTCAGCACAGCTGTATCCATGTTCTATGTTGCTGGGTGGATTTGGAATTAAATAGTTACAAAAATCACTAGTTATCTGTAATTAAATCCCCCCAAATGAAATTATAATAAAGAAACATTATAACTGTAACTTAATGAGGAATAAATCCAATCTTTTGCAGTGTAGCTTTAATTAAAGTTATAGGATGGGGCTTTGCTAATGGTACAAAAGAGCTTCACAATTTACCACTAAAGGAAATAAAATCCTCAAATCTACTGATGAAACAAAGAGAAGGATACTGGATCATTGGTCAGTGGCCTACAGCATTTCAGTTTTTTAAGAAGTAACTGAAAACTAATTATTTACCTGCCCGGTAAGCGAGGAAAGGGCACGAAAACACAGCGGGCGGCCATTGCCTTTACCCGGCGGCCATTCTGGAACCGCCAATCAGCTGTTAAAAAACATCGCTATGCGAAAATCAGTAAGCGAAACACTTACCGATCATCGCAAAGCGATTTTTTGCCATTAAACATCGCAATGCGATCGTTTTTGCGATCGCTTAAAACACGTCGCTATGCGGATTCGTCGTTAACCGAGGTGCTCGTTAAGCAAGGCACCACTGTATATATATGCATGTAACTTTTAGTTAAGTCCTTTATCAAATGTAGGATCTATAAATGGGAAAACATGTTCAATTAAAAGGCTTTACTTGTTTTTAGAAGGACTTTGCTTCATTCATTTGATTGTTACACATAATGCAGAACATGGCTCGAAAAAATCTGTTGAAAAGCAACTTACCCCAAATATCCCTTGCTTCCTTGTTAATGAATTGCCATTCCAAGTCCAGAAAAATATATGAGATTTGCCAGATGTTATTATTGTGTCTTTATCGGTTGGATGGAATGCTACTGCAAGAACGACTTCATTGGTAGTCTGTTGAAAGCAAAAAATGGAGTTGTTACTATTAGCATCCATGTTTAAGAAAGCAAGTAGAGGATTTAGTGTAATGTGTACATATACAAAAAATATATTTAAGCATAGAGAAGAGTACGTCTGTTATTAACACTTCATTCTCATCAGCCAGTGTTCTCTGAGAAATTCTCAAAATACAAACGCTTCTCAATGACTGTGTGGAGAATGCAACATATGAATGATATATCTACCTGAAATACTTTGTACATACGTCCAAATAAATGCTTTAGGAGGTATCCACAAAAAGTGCCCTACTTTATCAATGTCATCACATAAATTATGTGAAGCATATTTAAGTTCTTCTGGGCACATGCAGCAATGCAATAATCAGTGTTGGTACAGAATAGTTTGTTTAATTAATTAATTAATTAATTGATTGATTAATTAATATGCCATCCACACTATCCAAAGGTCTCTGGGTGGCTTACAACATTTAAAATACAATAAATGTCAGAACAACTGAAATGCAATTAAAATATATGTAAATATATATATATATAAATTGCCATTGGACCCACAGCTAATATTATTTCAATTAAAAGCCTTCTGGAACAAGAAGGTTTTGACCTAGCGACGAAATATCATCAGCGTCGGCGCCAGACGAATCTCAGTTGGGAGGGCATTCCATAGTCTGGGGGCAGCTGCCGAAAAGGCCCTTTGTCTACAAGCCGTCCCTCTTACCTCTTCTGCACCACCCTCCGTCCCTTCATTGGCTGATATTCCACTCCCCAACTGTGACGGACAGGTGAGAGCAGAGTTGAATGTTACAAGCCCCCTGGCTAGATCTTAACTGCCAGGTAGGTTCATATGGAAGGTTCATATGGAAGGAGGCGGTCCTTCAGGTATCCAGGGCTTTATATGTCAAAACAAGCACTATGAATTGGGCCCGAGCAGCAACTGGTGGCCAATGTAACTTAAACAGAATCGGCTTGATGTGTTCCCTAGCGGCCCCACCACTCACAGCCGCGCAGCTTGATTCTGGACCAGTTGCAGTCTCTGGACTGTCTTCAAAGGCAGCCCCACGTAGAGCGCATTGCAGTAATCTATGCAGGATGTTACCAGTGCGTGTGTAACTGTCATGAGACTCCGCTCATCCAGGTAGGGCCGTAGCTGGTACAGTTTCTGCAGCTGAAGGGAGGCGCTCCTGGCTACCGAGTCCATTTGGGCTTCCAGAGTTAGACTGGGGTCCAGCAGCACCCCCAGGCTGTGGACCCTGTCTCTTAGGGAGAGTGTAACCCCATTCAGGGCAGGGAAATGGCCCTCCAACCTGTCCGGCGAAGCACCCACTAACAGCACTTCTGTCTTGTCTGGACTGAGTTTCAATTTATTAACCCTCATCCAGTCCATTATCAGGTCCAGACCCGAGTTCAGCACAGAAACTGCCTCACCTGGATTGCCGGAAAACGAGAGGTAGAGCTGAGTATCGTCAGCATATTGCTGACTCCTCAGCCCAAACCTCCTGATGACCTCTCCCAGAGAGGGAGATGTTGAACAGCATAGGGAACAGTATTGAGCCCTGAGTAACCCAATGACATAATCGCCATGGGACAGAGCAACTGTCCCCCAGCACCACCATCTGGACATGGTCAGCCAGGAAGGAGCAGAACCACCGAGCGGTGCCCCAACTCCCAACTCAGCCAGCCTATCCAGAAGGACACCATGGTCGATGGTGTCGAAAGCCGCTGAGAGGTCCAGGAGTATCAACAGTTGTGCAAATGAGTACTAAGACAAAGCATGTGAAGAACTGTATTATAACACATTTTTCTTGGCAGTGAGAACACACTACAGTTTTATATAAGAAGCTGCCTTAAACTGATTCAGTCCATCTATCCATCTACTCCAGTAATGGCAATGACTCTGCAGGTTTCAGCCATGATTCCATTCCTTCCTAGCCCTCTATGTGGATAGCTGGTTACGACATGGTGGTCTCCCCCCTGAGTTTTGACCAGGCTTGACCTTCCTTACCTTCCAAAATTAGACTAAAACAATCTGGGCAAACCCCTACAAATAGTTGCAACCTGACATTCTGGATACAAGAGTGATATACGAAGGAAGGATTCACACCTAGACATTGCAACTTGTTCCTCTTCCTCATGCAGTGAGCCACTCAACAGGCATTTTCTCTCCACCCACCAACTTTTCAATTCGAGTCTCCACCTGATTCATCTTCATGTGACTGTGCTGAGATGAGCACTAGGACATCCACATATGCTGAAGCTAGGAGAGCAAACTCAGGGAGAATTTGTACTAATTTGCCTGCACCACAGGTCCCTTTTACATCTTAACATTTGCATCAGAATGTTGTTGTTTAGTCATTAAGTCGTGTCCAACTTTTCGTGACCCCATGGACCAGAGCACGCCAGGCCCTCCTGTCCTCCACTGACTCCCGGAGTTCGGTCAAATTCATATTGGTAGCAGTGATAACATTGTTCAACCATCTCAGGCTTTGTCGTCCTGTTCTCCTTTTGCCTTCACACTTTCCCAACATCAGGGTCTTTTCCAGGGAGTCTTCTCTTTTCATGAGATGGCCAAAGTACTGGAGCCTCAGCTTCAGCAGCTGTCCTTCCAGTGAGCACTCAGGGTTGATTTCCTTCAAAATGGATAGGTTTGTTCTCCTTGCAGTCCAGGGGACTCTCAAAAGTCTCTTCCAGCACCACAATTCAAAAGCATCAATTCTTCAGCGGTTAGCCTTCTTTATGGTTCAGCTCTCACTTCCATACATCGCTACTGGAAAAACCATAGCTTTGACTATATGGACCTTTGTCTGCAAGGTGAAGTCTCTGCTTTTTAAGATGCTGTCAAGGTTTGTCATTGCTTTCCATCGAAGAAGCAGGCGTCTTTTAATTTCGTGGCTGCTGTCACCTCTGCAGTGATCATGTAGCCAAAAAAGTAAAATCGGAGGTTATTGATATTTCTTCTGGCAATCTTAATTCCTGTTTGGGATTCAGTCAGTCCAGCCTTTTGCATGATGTATTCTGCATATAAGTTAAATAATCAGGGGGACAATATACAGCCTTGTTGTACTCCTTTCCCAATTTTGAACCAATCAGTTGTTCCATATCCAGTTGCTTCCTGTCCCACATACAGATTTCTCAGGAGATACATAAGCTGGTCAGGCACTCCCATTTTTTTTAAAAAAAACTTGCCATAGTTTGCTGTCAAAGGCTTTTGCGTAGTCAATGAAGCAGAAATAGATGTTTTTCTGGAATTCTCTGGCTTTCTCCATAATCCAGCGCATGTTAGCAATTTGGTCTCTAGTTCCTCTGCCTCTTCGAAATCCAGCTTGTACTTCTGGGAATTCTCAGTCCACATACTGCTGAAGCCTACCTTGGAGGATTTTGAGCATAAGCTTGCTAGCATGAATGCAATTGTACGGTAGTTGGAGCATTCTTTGGCACTGCCCTTCTTTGGGATTGGGATGTAGACTGATCTTTTCCAATCCTCTGGCCACTGCTTGAGTTTTCCAAACTTGCTGGCATATTGAGTGTAGCACCTTAACAGCATCGTCTTTTAAGATTTTTAATAGTTCAACTGTAATGCCATCAACTCCGCTGGCCTTGTTGTTAGCCAGGCTTTCTAAGGCCCACTTACGTCACTCTCTAGGATGTCTGGCTCAAGATCAAGCAGCCACACTATCTGGGTTGTCTGGGGCATCTAAATCTATCTGGTATAATTCCTCTATGTTGTCTTGCCATCTCTTCTTGATGTCTTCTGCTTCTGTGAGGTCCCTACCATTTTTGTCCTTTATCACAGTGGTCCTCAACCTTGGGCCTCCAGATGTTGTTGGACTACAGCTCCCAGAAGCCTACACCACCACCTCTTCTGGCCAGGATTTCTGGGAGTTGAAGTCCAAGAACATCTGGAGGCCCAAGGTTGAGGACCACTGTGATAAAGGACAAAAATGGTAGGGACCTCACAGAAGCAGAAGACATCAA